CCCCCCCCAATATTGGCCTGTCCCCAGCGCCCCCCCCCCCAGTGCCAGCTCTGCCCCCATTCCCCTCTCACTACCAGTTCAGCCTCCAGAGCACCCCAGCACTAGCCCTACCCCTGGAGTCCCCAGTGCCTACCCCACCCAGCCCTGCACTGCTGCCCACATGGCAGCAGCTGTGGGGGCTGAGGCTGGGGTACACTGCCCAGCCGCTCCCCTACTGTCGCAGCTGTTCGGAGAGGCACTAGCCAACCAGCACCGGGCAGGGGCGGGGTCTCCTCCTGGCTGCAGAAGAGAAGTTCGCTGCATGGTACGAGGGCCGCACAGCGCAGGGTCTTCTCCCAGCTTCAGAAGAGCAATTCCCTGTGTGGTAGGAGGGCTGCATGGAGCAGCTCCGCTCAGCCCTCCTGCCACACAGAGAAGCACTCTTCCATGGCCAGAAGACCCCGCCCCGGCCCAGCGCTGGCAGGGCAGGACACGCCTCTCCCAACAGCCAGGACGAGAGAGCTATACTCTGGATCCCAGAGCCAGGGGTGGATATAGGGCAGGGCAGAAAGGGTGGCCGCCCCGGGCCCCGCACTTCAAAAAGCCCCGCGCATGCGCATGACGTCACTGTTCATGCGTCGTGGCAAAGGGGGGGCCCCGCAGAATTACCCCTGGCACCTGGGTGAAAAGTGGAGATAGCTGCTAGGTGGACCTTAATCGAAGAGGAGGATAACCCCTGGAGCCTAAGACCCAGAAGATAGTTTAGGACCATGGGGACTAGGGCATCCATAGGGAGCACCCCCCTCTGGGTAGACCAAATATAAAACCGCTTCCACTTAGCCAGATAAGTCGCCCTAGTGGAAGGTTTCCTGCTCCCCAGCAATACCTGATGCACACGGGCCGTACAGTGAAGCTACGAAACTGTCAGCCACGGAGCTTCCACGCCATCAGGTCCAGGGACCGCAGGTCTGAGTGGTGAAGTCCTGAGTGATCAGGTCGGGGACTAGCATGAGCACAACTGGCCTGTCCCCTGACTCGGGAGGGTGGAAAACCAGTGCTGCCGGGGCTATGCAGACGCGACGAGGATCAGAGACATCCTGAATTCCCGCACCTGCAGAAGCTCCTAGTGGATCAGCGGGAACGGTGGGAACGCATACAACAGACCCTCGGGCCACGGAATTAGCAACGCATCTCTCAGAGAGCCCCTTCCCAGTCCCATGAGGGAACAGAACCCCAAGCACGTCCTGTTCTGGCACGTGGCGAACAGGTCCAGATGGGGAAACCCCAACTGTGGAAGATATCCAGGGCCACATCCACCCGAGGGTCCACTCGTGGCCGGAGAAGGACCTGCTAAGTCAGTCGGCCAGAGTGTTCTAGGAGCCCGGGAGATAGGTGGCAGTCAGGTGGATACCCATCCCGATGCAGAGATCCCACAGGTGAAGAGCCTCCTGACACAGGTGAGGAGAACAGGCCCCGCCCTGCCTGTTGATGTACGAAACCACCGACGTGTTGTCGGACAGGATGAGGTCCAATTTGCCTCTGAGCTGGGGGAGGAAGGCCACACAGGCGAGGAGGATTGCTCGCAGCTCCCTGACATTGATGTGCAGGGAGAGATCGTCCCTCGACCACATACCTTGTGTCCGCATGTCTCCGAGATGGGCCCCCCAACTGCTGTCTGACCCAACTGTCACGAGCCTGAGGGTCGGTAGCGGCCTGGAGAATGGGACTCTGGCACAGACCTCCTCCTCCCGGGCCCACCAGTGCAGGGAGCGAAGGATGTCAGGGGGAACTGTCACCACTCTGTCCCATACATGAAAGGGAGGGTTGTGAGTCTGCACTAGCCACATCTGCAGTGGGTGCATGCAGAGCCCGG